ACAATACTCAGGAGCATTATGATGCGTACGGCTTCTGTAAACGGTAATCCTAAGTGCAGTGCATATACAAACAGATAGTAACACTTGAATGCGAAGTATTATGATGCGGAAAATGCAAACATTAACCATGTTAAGCAACTGCAGCAAACTTTTCAACGCCACCTATGCAATGTGAGGCAGAAAACGGTGCTCCCATGTAGTGGCAGTATAAGACACTTGCAATGTACATGGCTTTGAGAAATCCACTTTGATGGCGTGAGTGTAACGGAACACTCGCTAGTACTTAGATATCCGAAGGGTATGAGTTTGTAGCACAGTGTGTTGTGGTGCATATAAGACTGTACACCTACCCCGGAGGTACTGATGCCAACCACGATCGGCGGGGAATCTTGTGTAATTACTGCTTTTTTGGGCTGTGTAGTAGTAATGGACACCTCATTAAGCAGAAGCCCAGTGGCATTGCTCGCATCTATCCGAATTGCCACTGGACCAGTATCATCTAAAGGCAACTCCGTGTTCGTAAGGGATGGCGCAGAACGCTCAGCAATGCGGCGGAAAAGATGATAACTTGGCATATTTGGCCCAAGCACCATACTTCGCAATCACTGGAGATAGGACACAAAGGGGAAAGCCGAGAATGTGTCTACTGGACCGAAATCGCGCGATGTCGCGAATGTTCTTGGGAGAATGCACATTAAATACCAACCATTTTTACCATAGATAGCTGCATATTTGCTGGGAATTCTACCCAGCATTTTGTCCACCACCATCAGGTAGTGAGAACGCCACCTTTGGCTGCAAAGCACATAAGTTACAGCAGAGAGATTAATGAAGTTTCTATACATGTGTTCCGGCTTGATGCCTTGCAACACTACCGGTCTAAGGTATAACAGGAACGAACGTGACACAGTGGCCTTCCATCTTTCAACATCCTCAAGGGTGCGCCATTTGTTAGGAAATGACGCAGGCAAGCGTTCGGAGCACAGCCTCAAGCGCTTGTTGATTCGATGGATGTCTTTGGATGACAAAGGAAATTGTTCTTTTACTAGGCCCACAACGTTAGGATCCGTTTTATAACACTCAGACACATCGTGTGCATGTAATCGATAAGGAAACATTATATCCTGTCTCTACTGAGGGCTTGAAAGTTGACTCACAGATGTGCTGCTCACATTGGCGCCAGGAACAAAAATATTCATTTTTCTGCACGATATCTTCCGAAGATACCGGGAACGTCATCTGCCGATCTTATTATGGGCCTACAACATGGGAATTTGTGACAAACTATCCAATAACTGACGGCCGTACACTTTTCGGATGAGTAGCATCTTGAATGTTGTTTGACCTGCTTTATCTAAGTGCATCAGCGACAACTCACTTAAGGTCTAGTTGGGCGTGTAGACCGCAGGAATGAATGAACACACCGTTCTTCAAATCCTATATGGTCGGCTGCACGAACTCATGGACGTTTATTGACTTGCTGCGACTACTGTAAATGCCAAGGACAAGGGTGTCCGATTACGGTTGCATCACTCTACGAAGTATAGACCATAAATGTTGTCCAGGACTGAGGAAAAGTGACATCCCATTAACATACAATTGCAATGAAAGCTTTTATGGTGCTGGATAATTGTTCGCAGGAAAATGCTTCACAATCCTGCTTCTAGTCCAAATTGCACGTACTATTCAGCACGGATGAAACGTTCGGGGAAGTGATGTGCCGTGTGCATGAATGGGCAGGAAGATGCCGGCAACTCGGGATGTGAACGCCGAAATTTGCGCAGTCAGATGTTAAAGGGCGCAACTGAGAAATTCGCTTCCAGACAGCCATTGCGGAGAAGTTCCTCGCAACTTACATCATCCGAAGGCCGTAAAAGGATGCGTAAACAAGCATTGGTTAACAATAGTGCAACACATACTCTGGGTCCTAACTTCATGGACATCCATACGGTACTCTGCGTTCGCGGCAGAAGCAGTTGCTGTTACCGCTGCAATGGCCACTTCCGGGGAAAGTTCCGAGGAAGTGCTAACAGCAACGGGTTCCTCATCAAGAAAAAGATACAGCATGCGCACGGTTCGGTGGTAAAGCTAACTAATATTGCATATGACAGAATATGGCCTATACCTGGTTTTGCACGCAAAGATGAAAGCATGCTCAACAGCTCTTTATCACTTCTGCGTATCATGCGCTGGACACTGGATCTAGAGCAAACGTCACGAGACTTGAGACGTTTTTCATCCATGGCAAACGCTGGGGTAACAAAAGGGGATCCGGTGAAGTAGCGAAGGTCTAATGACAGCTCATATAGTGATGTATTCAAGAAAACTCATGTGATGTATATCAAAACGTAAAGTACGAAAAAATTGTGGTGATGTTAACACAGCTATTTATGATCACAAATCAAGAGCGGACGATGCACACAACGAGCTTCTACGCTAAGCGGTGTGTCACTGAAGATGTTACTTTGACTAATGACGAGACGTCTGCAGCACAATTGCTCCTCTCGGTGAACAAACAAAAACCAGATCACAAATCTATACATTTACCAACCTTTAACTGTGAATTTCACGACTGCCCGAATTTAGTTCCATATGGGACGTCTGGGCGTCCGATGGTGCCATCAGGGTAATGTTTACAATTTGATTTGTCCAACATTTCTGAGTAGCGTATCTCAAAGGTATTCAACTGGGGTTTTTTCGTCGTAGTTTCTATGTCGGGCAACTCCATACACATCCGGAAAAGCCGTATACGTTCCTTTCGTCTTATCAACAATCGCTGGTAGTGCACACCCGTCAACTTCATCCGGAAGCGATCAGCTCATGGTCGAAAGAATGCCGCGTCTACTTTCTATCCCAAAACAACCAGCCCAAATCCGTGTAGGTGCGGGTTACCACACAGTTCCTTTGGCGTAAGCACAAACGGGGACTGTCTCGTTGAGTCAGAGCATCGCTACAATGTGCCGGCGTATTGCTGATGCTTTATGTTATCAGGAAGCAAGCTCACGTACCTGCACTACTAATATCTTGCGTTAGCCCTCAGCAACTTAGGCTATGGCATAAAGGTTGCTTACGTCACCCACAGCTTTTCAACATTAGCTGCTTGTTAGTGGCACTAGCCGCTATGATTGAGAGCTCAGGAGATTCATTTCCCTATGGGGCTGCTAGATGTGCACTACTTATGGCACCCGAGAGGATGAAAGCCGCATAGTGATTTCCCGGACCGGTGAAAGTCTGCCTGAGTTGGAAACTTTTGCGGATCACCCTATTATATCAATTTTTGATTGCATCCATATCTTTACAGTAAGTACGCCGATTTCCTCAGCGTTAAAAGTGGAATCCAATAGCCTTCATTAACATGTGCGCATTCTTTGCATTTTATTCTCTACGTATCAGCATCATCGTTACAGCAAATGTAGTCTCCATTAGTTTGATCATTTAGAGATAGTGAAGAAAAGTAGGTCGATTAATTTCTTCATACTTGGTTGAAAGTAACTACGTGAACTTGCACATAGCACTTTGATTGACCACCTAATTGCTGATCGCTATTTTTTTTATTCTAGCCACAGTTATTGAATGTTACACAGTACACAGTAACATACTATTGGTATGCAAAAATACTGCAAAGCTTTCATAAATAAATGCACTACAGATGAGCTATATGGTAAAAGCAATGAATAAAGTGTAGCAGGCCTACCTCGGATATCGAAGCGATTCAACCAACCAAGCACGGTCAGATCTTTTTCACATGGCAAGTATCATGCCGTTATTAACCTCTGCGTGCTTTATTAAGCTAATTTTTTGTAAGATATTTTTTCAGCTTTGCTTATCACATATGTATTCACATTTATTGAAAGAGCCAATCAATCTTACGAACGTATAAAGCAGGTACATAAAAAATACGATTGCAAAAAGTAGAATATTAACCCATTTTCTAGTCATATGCTACAGTCGATCTGGACACTAAATGTGCGTTGCACGGACATACTGGGTAAAGTAGTACAATACATTATTTACGCTTTCACTTTCTAACCTTTTGTCGTCTTACCTCAGGCTCCTGTTACCAGCTACTGTGATTCTTGCGATTTCACTTCGCTGGCTACTCCAGTTGGTGGTATTTAATTAGTCAAAGTCGCAGATATACTGGCAACAGCATAAGCCAGTATGTTCAATGTACCCGTACATTTAAAACGCAGTGCTGCATTTAGGTGCCATTTCAAGGTACTTCACGATGATATAGCACAAAACAAATGAGTTTTGGATTTTGTTACTTAAAAGTCATAACTCGTAATGTATAGCACTGCATGTGCAATGGATTGCAAGTTAGACGACTCGGCACGGTACATCGCGTTTCACAATTAATTTTATCAAGCTGCAAGGATTAAGAACTCTAGTTTGTTTGCAAATAAGATGTGTAAAACATGGGAACCAAAGTACAATATAGGGAACTTTTGTGCTAACATCGACAATCAAGGAACAAATAACTAAATAAACCGTTTTCTACTTAATAACTTTGTCCAGCAAAGTTAGATGTATTAGCTTAACCAAAAGTTATGTTGGGATTGTCTTTGCCTTCCTGTAGCATTATCCGAATAGGTTTGATAATGGTAAAGAGGATCATTGACATTATCGGCTGATAGCCAGTAACAACACATCGAGTGTTAGCTGTAGAGCGCACAAATCGGATAAAAGTTGCATTGCAATGAAAATGACACGACACTAAAAGCATGATAGAAACCATTGATATTACGCCACAGGTTCTCGATTTTGTTTCTTCTAACTGACCAGTTGTATTTTACTAGGATCACGGATATGACGTGGAGAGTGGGCGATACATAAAATGTTTTATCATTAGCATTTTCACGGTTGTCAATTTCGAAGATTTTGATATGAGATACACTCATGAATGAATGTACCGAATGATTCAAGTAGTGCAAAGTAAATACTATTGTTGTGATGGTTGAAGTTTTTAACCGCTAATTACACAATAACGGGTTTTTTAGAGAACGGGACAATAGATGCAAGCATAAGAAAAGCCGTGCAAGTGAGTTGCGGAGTATTTACATTTTACATGGTAAAACTTTATTTTATACTAAAGTCTCTTAATATTTCCCGTGCACAGCATGCACGACTTGATTGAGAATTATTATGTTTGCTTTATAAACCTTTGCTTGCATGTGTATTCCGTATGCTTCAAACATATGTTGCGCGCAAGTGAGTACTAGTCAATTAGTTGGAAAACACACGGAATGCTTCGCTTCCTTAATATTCCACCGTACTTCATCAGTGGCATGACAGATTCGATACAGCTTTTGATAACATTAAGTCGTGTTAATTAAAGTTTAGAATTCAGAAAGAAGGTCCGATGTCATCTGCGTTGCCCTGAGTTCAGCACAAAATGCACAGCTAATTACTCGCCACTTAGTATGCATATAGCTCTTTTTTGTTTTGTATTGAATAAAAGAAATGTATGTCATCGTGGGCAATCAGCCCTTCGGAGGCCGGGGTAAGCGCAGCAATACGACGCGATCCCGAACTCCTGTGCAAGTAGGCATCCAACATCCACTTAAAACTTTCTTCAGTCTGAGAACTGACAGCCGTCTTCGGAAAACTCTTTCAGTCGTTTGCCACCCGAATAGACAGAGGAATCCCAGAACGAAATCGGAGCCACCAGACGAGCCGAACCTAGTTACTGGTAATGACAGTTACCAGTAAGACCCAACACGGATACCGAGTACAAAGAAGTGAAACGTTATCAAACCCAACGTGTATTGTACAAGTCAAGTCGAGACAAGCTTTACGCGCCCAGATAGATGCATTTTCCGCATTTTAAAATATCTACCACAAATGTGTTATAAAAATCATCAGAATGGGTAACAAGTGCACAGAAGTCACTTAATCAAACAGTCCCGCATCTTTGAGTAACGATCGCACATTGATTGAATGAATTATAGGTTTCTTCTTCCAGCTGACTAGGCCAACATTTGTTAAAACGTTTATTGATAGCTTAATGTTGGAAGTTTGTGAGTAGGGTAAAGTTTGTAGAAAGTAGAAGTCACGATTAAAATTCACGCACAATAATATGCCTCGACGGGGAGTTGAACCCCGGTCCACGAATTATTGATAGCTCATTTCAACTGGAAAAAAACAGCAAACCACGAGTTATATGCGGTGTCTCAGATACTTTTTCAAAGAATCGGTGGTGATGAGCGACCTCGGTGATCTTGAAATGGTTCAGCCAAAGAATTCATCAAAAGATTCAAATAAAATTGCTCCGTTTGCAGTAGATAGCGCGAAAAACGATGTTTTGGGGAGAGCGCTAACGGCCAATTTAAAGGCCCCGCCTTGTACGAGTTACAAAGAACTGAAAGTTAATTAGCGAACCAACAAGCGATGAACCGCAGAACTCATAGGAATTGGAAGTGAACCAGACGTGCAGTCAGTAAAACAAATGAACGATCGGAAGGTACAAGGGAGAATAAAGTCCAGTGTCATAAAATACTGAAAGTCTAGTTGTTTCAAGTTTCCTCCAGGCGTCTCCCCCTCGAAGGCTGATGGAGGGAAGCCATTGACAAATATCAGCTGGGAGAACAGTGTGAAGAATTGGGAATCGAGTATGGATAAAAGTTGCAGTCAGGTAGAAAGAGAACTCCAGGAGTGCGCTGGGTTCGGTATAGTTTCTCCCTTATTTGGGTATGGAATGTAGTACGTAATCGATGAATCATCGGGGCGGGCTGGTTGGACTGTAAAATACTGTGTTCCAGAAAGAGGCCCGACAGAACATTTCCTCCGCTGCGGCCCGACGATGCGCTTGGGAGGTGTCACTGCCCCCATCGCATTCGAATTCCGCGGTCAGAACGATCCTCGTCCCACGAAGAACCCCGGAAGTCGCCTTCTGGGAACCACTTCCAGAACTCGCGGATCAAATCAGTCGTTGTCGCACCGGTGTTAGGGAGGCGCGGTCGCTTGCAGCCAGGATTATGGGGTCGGAGGCTTTGTACACACGGGCCAGAAGATGCCGCAACTCGTCAGGGGACCTGAGTTCTGGGATGTCAAACTAGAAGAGGGTGGGACGTGGTCGGGATACGTGGTGTGGTGCCGTATGAATAATGAGGCAAGTATATGAAACGGAATGTGTACGCTTTTTTGCTTTTTTGTAAAGGGTTTTAGGTTCGTTATTTGCCGTTGTACAAAACGTTTTTGAATGAAACACACGCTTACCCTGAAAGGTGGGAAATACGCATATCGAGGAATATAGCAAAGATTAACAAAATCCGAAAGGCGGATCGGACGCTTGATCTGTCTACCGCGGCTGAGTTGGCGGATGGTCAAGGATAACAGTGAGGTCTAGGGTGCCTGAAGCTAAAGATGCAGCTGTGGGTAAGTTTACGCTTGCGGCTGTACCAAGTAAAATTGGGGACGGATCTTCGAAACGTGCCCCATTAAGACGATCGATGGGAACCGTTGTATGGTGACCATTCTAGTGTAAGGTACAAAGCTTAGGAGTTCGTTGGAGAACTCTGAAAGGGCTGGTTTAGGGAGGCTGAAGAGGTCGACGCACTGCGTATGTATGGACGAAGACGTGGGTGCACGTAGAGTCCACTGTGCAATTGCACGTCTTTGGTCTGCTCAAGCGGAGGGGTAAGGCGTAGCAAATGTATGCGTTAAGAAACCGGGGCTGCGAAGTTTGCCAGTGGCATACAAAATGGCGAGGTGGGAATGAACTCTTCTGGCAGCTTAAGCGTCCTGCCATGTACCAGGTCTGCTGGTACGCACTGCAAGTCAGCTTTGATGCTGATGCGGATACCTAGAAGTACTAACGGAATGTTTTCGCTTCAGGCAGGGTCAGAAGTGGCACAAAGAGATTAGTTTTGCTATCGATAAAAGAGTTTTCGGTCGGACGCTTCGCAGCAGGGTGATATGTCGTCGTGTGGATACGGCGGCATCCTAAGTAGTTGCAGAATGTATCGAATGGCGAAGGTTCGAAAGGCGTTTCGCGGTCGGTAGTGATGGTGAATGGGCATCCGTAGTGGGAAACCCAACGGCCCATAAACGCACGAATCACTGTTTTGGCCGTGCAGTCTGATACATCAATGGCTTCTGCCCATCTAACGAAACGGTTGACACATGTACGTATGTATACGGATTCGTGAGAAGGAGGTAAGTGTTCTATCAGGTCTACGCGTACTTGAGATAAACGCGAATCCGGCACAAAGAACGGGTCGATAGGACTACGGGTGTGTCGATGTACCTTGGAGCGCTGGCCATAAAGACAAGTTTGATCCCAGTTACCAACGTCTTTGTTTATGTTTGACTAAACGAAGCGCTCGGTGACCGGTTTTTAAGATGTCCCCATACCACGATAAGACATTGAGTGAAGGGTGTCGAAGACTCTACGTCAGAACGAGGCGGGCACGATGGGTACTGGACAACCTGCGGAAGTGTCACCAAGGATAGTTTCATCCGTAGTTTGGAGCGGAACGGGTTGCACATTCAGTGCAGTGGACTGCAAGTTGCGTTGGAGGTCCTCGTCTTGGATCTGAGCCAATGCCATGGCGGCGAGTTCGACAGTAGGTAAAGAGAAAAGTGTTAGGTTGACGCGAGAGAGAGCATCGGCGACGAGGTTGGTGACACCTGAGACATACCGTATGTCAGCAGTGAACTGCGTAACAAAGTCTAGGTATCTATTTGCCCGTGGTGAATATTTGTCAGATGAGCTGCAGGCGAAAATGCGAGACTTGTGGTCAGTGTAGACCGTGAAGACCCGACCTTCTAATGTGTGTCAGAAGTGACTAGCTAAGTAGATGGCAATCAGTTCTTTACTGAACGTGCTGTAGCGGGATTCCGCTGGTTGCAAACGTTTGGAGAAGAAACCGAATGGTTACCACTGTCCACCAACGTATTTCTGGAGAACGGCTCCTACCGCAACGTCTGAAGCGTCAGTTGTCAGAGAAAGAGGAGCAGACAATTCGGCGTGAGCGAGGAGAGCTATGTTGGAGATAGCATTCTTGAGCTCAGAGAAAGCCGTGTGTGCTGTGTTGGGGAAGCAAAGTTACGTTCGTTTCATCCAAGGGGGTCACCCAGAGGCTGCCTGAGTTAGGCGCACCGGGGGAGGAAGTGTCAATAGTAGTTGACTAGACTACAAAATCGACCTAGGTGTTTAACTGAAGTCGGAGCTGGGAAGTGCTTGATAGATTGCACCTTATCCGCAAGGACTTCGATACCAGATGATGAGATGAGATCGCCTAGGAGTTCTACCGAGGACTTGCCTAGTTCGCACTTAGTTGAATTGACAGTTACATCTTGTTGGGTCAGCTGCTGGAAGAGAGACTGAAGACGAGCTAGATGCTCTTCGTCGGATGAAGTGGCCACTAGAATGTCATCGAGGTAGGGGTAGGCGAAAACTACTCTACGGGTGACATCATGCATGAAGCGTTGAAAAGTCTGTGCGTTCTTGCGCAGTCCAAAAGACATTCGTAAAAATTCGAACAAACCGAAAAGAATACTGACAGCTGTTTCATAGGATCATAGGATTGTAGAGAGCAGAAGGAGAAATCCTTTGTCAGCTCCATCGCTTCCCGATCATTGTGTGGAGGCCGCGATTCATTGCTAAGCAGTATTCCACAATATAGGTCTTTTTCCTCAACAGGTATTTGGTGGTAGGCTCGAACAACATTGATTTGCTAAAGACCGTCTTACCTGTGAGGCATGTATTGAAGTCCTGCTTATGTGCGATGAGGTATCTGTCGGGGACCGTAAGTTTGTTTTAGGTCCCGGTAGTCACCGCAGGGACGCCAGTCTCCAGATTTCTTGGGGACCATCTGGAGTGGAGAGGACGAAGGGCTATCGGAAGGGCGGAATATTCCAAGTTCGAACACCGCCCTAACTAGCCTTAGTTTCTCCGGCGACGGTCGTCGCTGGTGTGAGGAGACGGGTGGGCCCTTGGTACCGATATAGTGAGTGACCTGACATACCACAGGCTGAGACTCAATCATTAGCTGAACGAGCTGCGGTACTGAGAGAATAGTTGGACATAGTCGGAGG